CCCATACAGAGCAGACTGTCCTCACATCAAGATTGCCTCTCGTGGTCTTGCGGCCGGAGGGCCGCGCCTGAAGTGTTTAACGTCATGGGTCCTGTCAGACGAGACATACCACGTGATGACACGTTAGGCTCGTGTTGTGTTCAAGGACCCTGAACTTGGCCAGGAAAAACAAGCTTGTTTAATTATTTTGCGGTCTAGATTTCTTGAATTTTTTTCTTTTTTGCGTGTGTTTATAAATTACCTCGATGGCCGCACCAAATGGTCTCGAGGGCCGTATACGGCCCGGAGGCCAGAGGTTCCCCACCCCTGCTCTACTGTGACATGTTTCCTTATTTTAATGTTCAAAAAGCTCTTTATTTTTGTCATACTGTCTGTGTAGCACCTCGTTTCACCCTCTGTCTGAAACCAGAGCCCAGTCTGCTCTGATTGGTTAGCTGGCCGGCTCTGTTGTGATTGGTTAACCGCTTAGGGATGTCCCGCCCCTTCTGTCACTATGTTATGGAAGTAATCCAATGGAGGCGGTTCAGGCAGTGGGAGCATGAACTTTCAGATTTTAGTCTTTGCAGACCATTTACATAACACACTACAGGAAAGGGAAAACCCCAAAAAGCACAATAGGGCCCTTTCAGTTTTTAATGAATTTGAAAAAAGAGAAGATCAACATCATACTGTATATACATGTTTATATTTTGCACAACATCTGTCAGAGACATTACTCCTTCTTAAATAAAGACACCATAAATCATCAGATCATCAGCTGTATTCAAACAATTGAGAGTGTGAACCCTGCTCTGTTTATTTGTATTCTTTTGTCTTAGAGTCTTTGTTGATATTGATTGTGATTTATTTCGATGCTCAAATCCATTCTGAACTGTATATTTCTCTGAATCTTTCCAGGTATACTTTCACTGGCATTTACACTTTCGAGTCTGGGATAAAGATATTAGCGAGAGGATTCTGTATAGTACCGTTCACCTTCTTGAGAGATCCGTGGAACTGGCTGGACTTCACCGTCATCATCATGGCGTAAGTTACTATGACATACATGTATTATTTACTTTGACATCAATTCACTTCACATGAGGAGTGGATACATTGTGCAGAAACACAACACAAGAAAGTCCACCCTAATTCAGTCATTCAGTTATTGTATAAAGAGAAAATGTTCAGTGATGTCAAAGTGACTGTAGACAATGAGCCTAGCAGATGGCAGATTAGACAGGTGACCTCTTGATGCATTGTACGAGACCAATCCTACAGATGGGACATTTGCTTTGTTTGAAAACAGCGAGACAAAATCTCTTTTAGTGTGTTTGGACACACCTTCCGGGATTCATTTGTTTTTAGTTAATTATGCTTCAGTCAGCCAATTCATCTGTCATTTCCTGTCACAGGTGCTCATTACATGCTGTTAATTCGGAAGGAGGCTATACTCAATATATTGTAATGGTTTACATGACTATAATAATAATAATAATGAATTTTATTTAAAAGAGCACTTTTCATTAGAGTAAACAAAACTCAAAGTGCTAGACTATGTGCAAAAGGAGTTGTAGAAATGAATTTGCGGTTCCGTTCAGCTCTAAGGAGCATTTTGGATTCTTTCAGTTGGTTGTTTTGGTCTTCAAGGTCATCATAACTTTACTGATTTAGTTCACTCTTACTGCTCTCAAAGTATTGTTTCAGTCTTTAAGAAACCCTATAGGCTACACCATTTTTTTTAGATAAAATAAGAATATAGATTGGATTTAACATTTAGTTTAGCCTTTCAAAAACAACTTTTTACTGTTGTCAAAAAACAGTTGTCTCCACCTGTCTGCAAAAATAGAGTTGCATTTGATAAAATCACAATAAAAAAAGAGGGTGAAGAAAATCTTCATGCAAAGACCTCATAAGAAGCTTTCGGATGTAAAACACATTCTGTACAGGCCTTGTTAAATCTTTCTGCAGAAGTTTATTAATCCCCTCTTATCACATTGCAGATATGTGACCGAATTTGTAGACCTGGGGAACGTCTCAGCGTTAAGAACCTTCAGAGTACTGCGAGCACTGAAAACCATCTCCGTTATCCCAGGTAAGATGACCCCGACACAGAACCACATGTCTCTTTATTCTATCAAACCATTCATACATCATCTCCTCTGCTCCGTCAAGGTCTGAAGACGATTGTCGGCGCTCTGATCCAGTCTGTCAGGAAGCTGGCAGACGTGATGATCCTGACTGTCTTCTGTCTCAGCGTGTTCGCCCTCATCGGCCTGCAGCTCTTCATGGGGCTGCTGCGGCAGAAGTGCATCCGCAGCCTGGCGCACTGCATCAACTCCACCTACAGCCCCAACGCATCGTTCATCTGCAACAACAGAACATGGAGCTCCAGGGCGGACTTCCTGGGCAGCGAAGGTCAGCCAACAAAACAAAAAAAAACTCATGTTGATAACACATTTCACACATGTACCACACTATGAGTACTGTCTAGGATCATCTATGTTAAAGGTCTCCTATCATGCAAAATTCACTTTTCGATGTCTTTTATACATAAATATGTGTCCCCGGTGTGTCAGGGAACTCACGAAGTGTCAGAAAACAAAACCCTCTCTCTTTTCCTCCATACCCACATCGGAGCACAACGGAGCTGATCCAGATTTGCGTCCGACGTAATATCCGAAAAGTGGGCTGGCTTTACACCCACGGCCCTATCAGAAACGTTGCTATCAGAAACAATGCCTGACGTGTTTTCGAAGCAATATGGTCTTTGTTTACATTAGCAAGCATCGCTAACACTACTGGAGAGAGTATGTGTAAAAAATACGGATATAAAAACATACTCACCTTGTGGTAAACCCGCAAGAGAAAAAACATTTGAGCTCCATACTGTTTCAGAAATAATGTGGTTATGAACATGATATGGCATTTAATCACGGCAGCATTTAGCTGTATCTGGGTAGAATTCTCCTGATCAGATACTCAGCATTAGCTCCCCCCCCCTCTTTTTTTTAAAGCTAAAGACCCAGAATCAGCACTTCTCTAACAGGGCTGAAATAGAGGGATATAAGGGATAATACATGACACATCAAACATGTTTTAAAAATATTTTTATATATCTGAGACCCATAATAAATGCCTAAAAATAGCATGATCGGAGATCTTTAAGTGAAGAAAAAAATAAACTCTTTCCCCCTTTCTATAGATAATTTCTACAAAGTTGAAGGAGCAAAGGATGCCTTAATATGTGGATATGGAAGTGATGCAGGGTAAGTAAATACTTATCCTGCTTTCTGCTTGTTAACCATCCGCTATTACATAATATATACATATTTAGCATCTAATGGTTTTTTATCCCATGCCCGCCCGTCATGTGTATAATTGGATAAAGTTGCTCGATCATTGGGCATGCCGCAAAATGTTTTTCTCAGAACACAGATACAAGAATAGAAATCGATGCTTTAGGCTTCGAGTTGAAATCTGTGACTTAGATGCGCAATGTACAGAGGAATGATTCCATCCGCGGGAGGGGGGTAGCGTGAGAGAGGCTGTGCAGAAGACGACATGTGGTGTGGATAATCACCCCCGCTCCACTGGAACCCTTTACTGAGAAACATGGAGTTGCCAGCTGGAGAAAGGGGGGTCTTTGGAGATTTCATCATCTCAAAAGCTCTATGATTAGGTTGACCGGAGCAGACCGGATCACTTCGGCTTCATATTCCGTTATTGTTGAGAGGAGGATACTGTACTTCAAACAGCACCTACTTTTGTTACAGAACAAAGACACTCCTTTTTTATTTCTAACATCAGAATATATTTAGAAATGCATATAGGTTACATTGTATCCGTGGACTTTGTTCCCGATCAAAAGCACAGTGTGAAACCTTCCAAATATTGCTACTCATCCTACGCATTGAATAATCCTATAAATCCAAATGCTTTTGAAACAAGCAAACCAGGATGACTCTGCTCGTGCCAGGCTCAGTTCAAGGGTTATAATGAAGTTAATACCCATCTGTGTGAAGCTGAAATCCTGCAGTGTCAACAAATGGCTTCCGTTAGGTGGTCCTGTTAATAATTAAGCAAAGGACAAAAACTGCAGGTGATGTTGAGCTTTACAAAGAATCTCATAAAAGTGTAGATATTTTGTACTAAATGATGCAAATGTATAAAAACAATTCCTTAATCACCGATTAAACAGTGTTCAAAGGACACATTTTCTTCTTCATTTGATCAAATAGTTATTATAATACTAAATAATAAATGTATTTTGTTGTATATGCATTTAATCCAAACCCCTTAAAACACTCTATAGCAAATGTCTATTGGTAAACACACACACAGATGCAGGCAGTGTTTTACTCATACTTTGATTAACAGCAAATAAATATAAATTGTATTTAACACGTTCAATTCATTTAATTAAGTTGACTTTGATTTGATGACCAGCAAACAGCGAATAAAATATCAACAAAAGCATAAAAGATGCTAAAGATTGCAATGGAAAGATAAAAACCAATGCTGCGTAATGTGTAGGATTCTCAACCAGAAATTAAAAAATTAAATATTTAATATTAACTGACATGTTTTAGCATAATTTGATGCTTGATAATTTCCTGCATGCATTGTATGTCATGCATTCAGAGAAACAAAGAGTGTTTAAGTGCAAGATATACAGTAAGTATAAGAAATACTGCTAACGGCATGTAGCTTTCCTCTCCACTGAATGGCAAGTCAAGGCTAAACAATTAACTTCTTTTTTTCCCCTGTACAAATATTTTTGATGGTTTTTATAACAAAGGTTCTTTGAATTAGTTGACCCTAGCTGATATTTCTATGGGATTGTGACTGTTTTCACATGAGATTAAGCTGAAATTGATATTAACACAGCATTTTAATGACAGAGTGGAGGTAGTTACACATTCTTATTTGTTGGTACCAACCATTGGTATCAGTGCAACCAACGCTTGAGCTTTAATCTCACTCTGTGACCTCCAAAAACACTGGAGCTTAATCTCCCAAAAAGTAAAATCTGATTCAGTGTTTTGTGTTCAATTCAGAGCGAACAGAGGATACATCTGAGTGCATTAGGGGGAAATAACGTAAAAATAACAAAATAAGTAGAAGGTCAATAATATCAGACTAGCAATATTGCCCATGCAGCTTTTGACATCTCTATTGACACTTTTTCCGTTTTAATCTGTGTCAATAGTTGGTTTAAAGGCTTTTAAGACAACAAAATAAATTGAAAGATTTTTTTTTTTCCCCCCTATATATTAAAACGTTGCTTTGTAATCAGATAGCACATGGTGTTTTGTTTATTTTAAATGTATTTGTGGTTCAATCAAAGCCAGAATGAACCAGCTGGCCCTTGGTACACTTGCCAGGTTATAGGTTAAAGGAAACATATGTGTCTGCTGCCTTCTGTGACATTTTAGATGGAACTTTCTGAGGTTGGCTCTGGAGACGGGCGAGATATTAAGCAGGTCAGGATGGAGGACGTAAAACATAGAGGATGCTTAATCTTTTGAGTGTATTCCAACAAGTAATCCCTGAGTAGATTTCCAAATGAAAGCTTTGGATACTTTATGATGACAACACACACTCACACACACACACACACACACACACACACACACACACACACACACACACACACAATTGTACACACATGCGCTCGCACACACACACACACACACACACACACACACACACACACACACACACACACACACACACACACACACACACACACACATTCAGGCATGCACACAAACACATATTCCAATGATATTTTCAGCCTGGATGGTTAACAAGTTGTGATAAATGATTTGCTCAAAGGTTCAAGCTGCTTCTCATCGTGCCTTCAGCAGAGGTCAGGCTTATCCCCTCACATCTTAAAGCCACTGTGCATCAAGGATTATGACTTTTGACTTCTGCCCTTGACAGGCTGGATGTGAGCATTGAACTCCTCCGTCCACCACATGAACGTATTTGGCTGCTAAGGACAGATGCTCCTCTGTTGCTCTGTCACACAAAAGCAAGAAAATGAGTATAATACTTAAGTCTCAAACTCAATTAAGCATGTTTTTGGTGAGACTCCTGAAATGAGGTCTGTGGTTAATACCAGCTCAAAACACTTTCACTTTTTATTCTTCAACATAAAATATGTCAGAAAATTACTTACTTGTAAAAGTCTAGAGCTTCTATGTCTTCTAACAAGTGTCTAAATGTCACTACTTCATCATGCTGAACCTTAGCCACCTTTAGCTTAATGGTGTTGATGCGACTGTCCTGTAGCATTAGCTATTAGCATTAGCTATTTACTTCTGACGATTGTATTTACACTTAAAAAACATAAAAGTGGAGTTAATTTGGTGAGAGTATACTAGTAAACAGGATGTTATTATATCATAAATGTTGTGTTTGCCACAGATTAAATTTTCTGCAATATTCCAAACGTCAAAGGAAAATCCCATTACTTTTGTTTGGGGAGCCCTCACGATGCTAACTTCTGGATTAGCCTACAAAAACATTTCATCACTGAGCCACTCTATATAGATCATATAAACCCCTGTGCTTTGGTGACATTGGACGACCTGCTTATGGAAGCTTAAAGGACCATGCCATATTTGAGGGATTTTAGGACCAAACAAAAATAAATATAAAGCAATAGTTGCCATAGTAGGAAAAATACATCTGCAAATCTTAAAATGTCCAAATAGGCTGTGGAGGTTGATCAGATATCACAGTGCACGTGGCATAGCGGCTCTTGTTGAGGAGTGCTGACTCTTGATAAACCCATGCAACAGTCTCCAGGGCAGTAACTATAGATATGTCAGGAACATTAGCCTGACAGCAGCAGCTAATGATAAGAGAAGTGTCACAATAGTATGGTTGGCTTGCAGTGTGGCATTAGAAACCAGAACGTTTCAGTGCATTGCATGTTACACAGGCAATCTTAAACACTCAGAGGAACCATAAGAAATGTTTTGACTTTAGGAATCTACTCTATACAATATTTCTAAATGTAAGAAGGATAATAGGAATGACCGCCATACATGAGCCCATGACTAGTTATTGAAGTTGCCTACATAGGGTTTTTATTGATTTGGCTTTTATTTTGACCAAAATGTTTGTAAAGAATTATAATTGATGTGGTTATTTGCATTATTGTTAAATCTGCAGGTTATTTTCCAGATAAGAGGTTAAAACTGTATTTATATTATTTCAGAGAATTCTAAAAGAAAACTCACTGCAGATTGTTGCCTGATCACGAGTGCTAAGAAAATAAATTGGCTAAATGTTTCTCCCATTTGCTTGAAAAATAACTAAAAGTTACACATTTGTGAATCGACTTCCGAATCATTTTAGCTCTAAATATAAACTGTGCTTATATAGGTAATAATATATAGTAAACAAATCAGGGAAGAAAAAATTGTCAAATTCACAAGCCATGTTGAGAGACAATGTAAATATACAGTAGTTATTCTTTTTACATTAAAAACGTTGACAGTGTCCTTGAATAGAGTTTTTGTTTATTTGTAACTATCCATACCTTTTTAATTTGGGAATTTGTTTTTAAAAAAGCCTCTCACTCAATCTAGAAAAACATATTGTTTGCTTCTGAAAAATGTCCAAAGTAGCATAATGTGTTAGCAAAACAACCAGATATAGTTTATGGGCTTATATGAAAATAAAAGAGGTGAAGAGTGAAGTGGCAGCCCGACAGGAAGATGTCGCTGGCCTCACGCAGCCTCCTCTGTCCTCACGGCTGAATATTAGCGAGCATCCCTGCTCAGATGGCTGGTTGGTGACATCTACAGCTGTTCTCACAGCAGCGCTTTGCCCGCCCAGCTGTTTCCCGGCCATTACGAAATTATTCAGCACTCAGATTGACATGGTGGTCCAGCTTGTTCTCAGCTGCCGGACTTATATATTTGCTGTAATGCCACTATGCTGACAATGAAGATCAGAAATGCATTTTTTTGAATTGCAATTTGATATCCATCTGGCTCACATAATCCCTTTTGCTGCAGTGCATTTTAGTGATCCTGCTATGAACGAATTTCAAGTGCCCTCTCTGGTTGAAATAATGTGTTGATAGCAGTGCACTTACTTACAGGCTCATCCGCTTTTGTCCCGGTGGAGTCAAAGGCCACCGGCTTCATGTAGATACGGGGGATGTTTTTAACTCCGGCAAAGCAGCCTGCACGCTACCACAGCTATATTTGCTCCAGCTGCCTTCGATTTAATTGTGCACAGCCTTTGTTTATCAGTGCTGCCCCCTAATCGTCTGTCTTGTGCTTTTTAACTGTTTGTGCATTACAGGAAGTGTCCAGATGGATTTGACTGCCTAAAAGTAGGGAGGAATCCAAACTATGGCTACACCAGTTTTGATACCTTCGGCTGGGCTTTCCTGGCCCTCTTCCGACTCATGACACAAGACTACTGGGAAAAACTGTTTCACCAGGTGCCGTTTTTTAAATCTCATTATAAATCTACCAATTTCCTGTGACAGTTTGCTGTGCCCTATTATTATCCATCTTTGAAAATGAGTGTTAATTTTGTCAGCATTTATTTTAGTCTTTATCATATTTAGTATTCTTTTTTTTATTTGACTCAATTGCATTTGCATTTTAGACTTATCTTAGCCAAAGAAAACTATACATACTTTGCTTGTAGGGACGAAGGACCCACCATGAACACAGTGTAATATTGCCTTCCTTAGGAGTTGGTGAAGATGTTATGTTAAAACTACGAAAAATGACTCAGCCTTAAAAATATCAAATTTTTCTTTTCTAAATGTTTTTATCATATATTGTTTAACTGTTACTTTATCCTCACAGTAGTGAATCAGACAGAACATCTGTGAAAATTGGCTCATAATGGCAATAGCAAGATTTCACAGCGCCTGATGAAAACAACCAATCAGAGCCAAGACAGTGTCATCACTCCAATCCCACTCAGCAGCATTGATCATATATGAATCCAAACAGTGTTGTTGCCAATGTATTGCCTTAACGTTTTCAGAACCATATTTAAGAGTACAGTTTAGATGTAAAATTAGAAAGTTTGTGACCCGGCTGCCATTTTGAAATCAGTTAATAGAAAAAACCAAGCACTCCACTAAACCAATATTTCTTATTTACAGCTAAACAGTTCTCAATAAACCATTTGAGGCCACAAATAGGCAACGTTTATATTTGATCAACTCTGCATAGTTTCAGATTTTTATCGGAGTGCAGGAGCGGTGATTGACACTGCATTAGAGAATCCTCTGCTCTGATTGGTTGTTTTCCTTTGGGCTTGGTGGAATTTTGCAAATTCCATTAGAAGCACTGTAGGGATGCATAGGAACCAAATTTGTTCACATATTATCTGTCTCATGCACGACTGTAAGGATATAATGACAGTTTCAGCAAATATCATACAAAGTTATTTTTTACAAAAGATACCAACTAAACCTTAAATACTTTGATCATACTCACTTTGATGTGCTGCTCCCTCAGACGTTGCGTTCAGCAGGAAAGACCTACATGGTTTTCTTCGTGCTGGTTATCTTCCTGGGCTCTTTCTACCTTGTCAACCTCATCCTGGCTGTAGTGGCCATGGCCTATGAGGAGCAGAATCAGGCAACAATCGCTGAGGCCTGGCAGAAGGAGAGGGAGTTTCAGCTGGCGATGGAGCATCTGCGCAAAGAGCAAAGAGTAAGTGCAACGCCAACAGTCGGCAACAATATTGAAAAGTGTTCTTTCATTAGAGGACGAACAGAAAAGTATCTTTTGTAACATAATTCCTTTCTGTGTGAAGTTGGCAAGAAAACAACAACAAGCCCAGGATACAGACTCAGTGTTGTCCCCAGAGCTGTCTCCAATCTGTCTGAAGATGGGCAGCATACGTCGAAACAGCAGCAGAAGAAGAAGATCGCACAGGGCATTGTCGGAGGAAACAGAGGAGGAAGCTGCTGAAGAAAAGTTTGACCCTCCTGATGAGCCAATGGTACATCACCAACAATCATAATCTAAACCTGTCTTCCACTCTTTGGTGTTCTTATGGAAAGTAATAGGAGTCCTGTGTCCTCTTTCTGCAGCCTTCTCTGTCTCCTCTTCCGGTCCACCCGCTACTGGCCACACTCTCTTCTCACCCCCTCAGCACCAGGAGAGGAAGCCAAGCCAGCGTCTTCAGCGCGTTCCGGCCGCGCAACAACTCGGAGGCGGACTTCGGGGACGACGAGTTCAGCACTCACGGGGACACTTTCAGAAGTCGAGCAAATTCAATAGCAACGCCCTGGAAAAGAAGGACCGGCAGTGTGCGGAGCCACAGCTCCCAAGTCTTCACCCCCAACTACAACATCAACGGCAGGCTCAACATCACCTTGGATCAGAACGGAGTCACCACTCTGGGACTACATTCTCCCATGTCCATGCCCTCTTACAGCATGGAGAGGTTCAGGGAGGAATTGGTGAGTGGTAGAGGCCCGGTTAGAATAGATAATCTTGCAAAAGTGAAAATGTTTTAACAGCTGATGGAAGAAGATTGGTTGTATTTGATGTTTTGGTGTTTTTCTGTCCACCAGAAGCCTGGCAGTATAGAAGACACAGTTCCTAACCTTCTCCTTCAGCCTTCCCCGACGATCACTGAGCCTCGTCCAGCGCAGAGGAAAAGAGTCTTGAGCTCTGTTAGCTTCTTCAGCGATGCCATGGGTGGTAAGTTATTTAACTTTAGTAGTAGTTTGAGCTACTTGGGAAAAACGTTTTTTTGCTTGAGAACAAGAAAAAGATAAGAAATTAGAAGGTTTATACATCACTATGCCTATATGATTGATTTAAAGCTCTGACCAGCCGTTTATTAGCTTAGCTTAGCAAAAAGAATCAAAACAGAGAAAATGCAATTCTAAAGCCAAATCATTAATATTTTAAATCTGGTGATTTTATCCAGGCAAAAAACAATCAAAATACAGTGGTGAGAAAATGACATGTTGTACTTAAACCATCCCGTAGCGTGTACCGTACTATCTTTGCTGCGTGCCTTAACTTCCTGAAGTTTCGTTGCACCTTTACCCATCATAAATGTGTACATTTATCATAGTGCTTTTTTTGCACAGATTAACAAACGAGATTTACTGTTTTAATTAGTCAACTTCAGGTTGAAGGTGGACTTACTTAATTTTGGACAAAGCCACACTAGCCTTGGTTTTAAGTCTTTATGCTAAGCTAAGCTAATCGACTGCAGCGTCATATTTACACTACAACACAAGACTGGTATCAAGCTTCTCCTTTAGCCCTCAGCTAAACTGAAATATAAAAAATATTCCTTTAAATAATGATCTTGTACCTCTCACATTGTTAAAGCCCAGAGACCTATTGCAGATTGTAGATCATAAAACGTTTTGTCACACATGATAGGGTTTCAGGTTTTGTCCACTAGTGTTTGAACAGAAAAGATGAGCCAGCATATAAATAGTTGACCTCTTTGCAGAGCTGGAGGTGTCGAGGCAAAAGTGCCATCCCTGCTGGTACACGTTCGCCAAGAAGTACCTGATATGGGACTGCTGCCCCTGGTGGCTGACGCTGAAGGAGTGGGTGAAGTACATGGTGATGGACCCTTTCCTGGATCTGGGTATCACCATTTGCATTGTGCTGAACACCCTCTTCATGGCTCTGGAGCACTACCCAATGACTGATGAGTTCAACACCATGCTTTCCATTGGCAATCTGGTAAGGGGCTTTTAATGATAGGGGTGGGCAGGTTTCCAGAATTTGACACACTTTATCCTAAGTGCTGTTGGGTCAACAGTTGAGTGAACAGAAAGCTTCACTAGAAAGAAAGTGAAGAGCAAATTCTTCGTTAAGATAATGTTCATATATCATACTCTGTTGTTTTTAATAGCCAGTGTTGCTGTACTTAAGGTCAGTAGGGCCGTGTTGATCCTTTATCAAAGGTTCTGCTTTAGACTATTTGTGATTATCGCCGGTAAGAGGAATTATTTTTAGCTGGAGGTGGGACTGATTCCATGGTTTGTATTTTTGCCATATCATCCTACTGGTACATTAAAGACTCTGCTAGTGTCGTCAAGTTTGAAAATCTTCTTAAAACTAAATAAATGGAAGTATTAATTATAATAATATTCTCTTATATTACATTAACCAAGTTTTTGCCCATGTTTTCTTTGTCTTTTGACCATTATTTAGCAGGATGTATCAAAATAAAACAAAAACTGAAGGAATATGAAAAATATTCTTCTCTTCAATTTTGCTTATATTTGTTTCTACAGCTGGTACACTTTAACTTAAACCTCTAAGCCTCAGATATTTAAACCTCAACTCAAATAAACTTAAAGCTGCTTATTTGATCATGTTGGCTGCTACTCAAGTAAGATACAGTGGCTTTGTCAGAGCTTTTTCACTGAAAACGACTGCCTGATGCTGGAAACAAGGTTGATCAAGAGTCAACAAAACAGTGCTCTACAAAATAGATTGTAGAGATAATATGTTTGACTTAGTTGCATATAATGCCCAATATAAATTAAAAATATCTTTCCAATTTAACATAATCCATTTGATCATTCCAATGGATTATGTATCATTCCAATTTTTTGTCCCCCTGTATCTGTTACAGGTTTTCACAGGGATCTTTACAGCTGAGATGGTGCTGAAGCTGATTGCCATGGACCCCTACTACTACTTCCAACAAGGCTGGAATATTTTTGACGGCGTCATTGTTTGCCTCAGTCTGATGGAGTTGGGTCTTTCCAATGTAGAGGGGCTGTCTGTCCTGCGATCTTTCAGACTGGTAACAGAAGTCTTGTATTCTCACCCTTGTACATTGAATAGAACTTTAACACACTTAAAAAAACATAAAATTGGTTGTCTTCTTTTTGTTCTCTACCTCAGTTACGAGTCTTCAAGCTGGCGAAATCCTGGCCCACTCTCAACACTCTCATCAAGATCATCGGCAACTCGGTGGGCGCCCTGGGAAACCTGACGCTGGTGTTGGCCATCATCGTCTTCATATTCGCCGTGGTGGGCATGCAACTGTTTGGCAAGAACTACCAGGACTGTGTGTGTAAGATCTCCATCGACTGTCAGCTGCCTCGCTGGCACATGAAAGACTTCTTCCACTCCTTCCTGATCGTGTTCCGGGTGCTGTGCGGCGAATGGATCGAGACCATGTGGGATTGTATGGAAGTGGCCGGGCAGCCCCTCTGTCTCCTGGTGTTCATGTTGGTCATGGTCATAGGCAACCTTGTGGTGAGTATTAAAGAGGCCCTGCTTTTTGGGGTTTCCCCTTTCCTTTAGTGTGTTATATAGGTTTTAGTGCATGTAAATGGTCTGCAAAGGATACAATCCCAAAGTTCCCTCCAGAGGGAGTTTCTCTCCCACACACATTTGGTTTCACATTTCACATTGGGGATAAGAGCCTAAAACAGTCTGGGGGTTTCAAAAAGTATAGATCGACAGACAAAAATTTGGTTTTTATTTGAGATTTTGACAATAATCGAAAAACCACAATATATATCCATCCGTTAACGGTATATGATAACAGGGAATCTGCTTGGAGACAAATTCAATTGAATGTTTATACAACCAACTGTAATCCAAATGATGATGTCATGAGCATAATCAGGGATTACTTATGTTGCACTGATGAGGGTGGGTGGTTCCTTATTATGCGAATGGAACATCCAGTAACAGTTATTGGTGCCTCATCATGATATATTTTTGCAAACTCAAAAATGTGTTCAGACACGATGGTTTGTGCACTTTTTTCTTCAGTGCTCTTGACCATGTGCTCTGAGAGAGTGGTTGTGTCACATTATCATGCTAACCTTCTTGCAGATTAGCATTAGCGGGCCGCAAAACAGATCATGTCTGGACGACATTTAATCCATCTGTTTTCCCTCCTGAGTAAGATGTGTTTTCTCTGCACATGTTGTCGTGCAAACCGTAACCCCAACAGATGCATTCTCTGCGGCTTTATCGCAGCCTCATGTCCAACAGGGCTGTATGTTTTATCCACTGCTAATGAACTAAGCCTTTTGGCAGAAATTGTGACCTAAGTACTGTACAAAGGATCAGCCAATTCCACAGAGTGTTTTGGTTTCAAGCCTTTTGCAGCAGGTATTGAGATTCACACAGGATGAAACGCTATGTTTATATCATTCATACAGCTGTTCCTGTAAAAAGTAGTTAATCTAACAGCTCTGCTTGAACACAGCTGCTTTCATCCTGTGCCATAGCAAGGATATGTTTATAGTTGGGCACATGCCACACCAGCAACTGCAGCTTTTATTTTGAAATGCACTGTAGTTCAAGCACTAATTATTGTTGCTAATGCTAACCTATCAATGTTATACTCCCAGAGAGCCAACATTTGCTTCAACTATGTTTGTATAAAGAAACCACACATGTAGCTCCTTGCAGAACTAGCATCTGCATTAGCATGATATGCTAGCCCAGTGGTTCTCAAACTTTTTCTGTCAAGCCCCCCCTTTGGAGAAAGAAAAAAGTTTGGCCCCCCCAACACAAATAGTCAGGCTCAGTGGCGGCGGCATAGATTTATTTTGGGAGTGCTGTGGGGTAGCTTGACGTTTCATAGAGGGTGCTCAAACATTTAGGGTTTCCCATTAATGTACCGGTCGCTACAGTGGAATTTTCTACTGCAACAATCCCCACGCATATACACAGTGTGACAGTTACAATGAAGGCTCGATAATCAGCTCACGGCATATAGGTGTAAGCAGGGGTAAAGGGCTATTTTTATTGGTGGTGTGTGGACCTCACATAGGGGGGTCCGGGGGCAAGCTCTCCCGGAAAGATTTATTTTTAAATATTGAAGTGCATCAATCTGGTGCACTTTGAGAGCAAAATGAAGAGATCTATGTATACATCTCTCAACACCCATTTGAAACAGAACTGTAAACAGATTTACTTTTTCTTTATGGATATTTTACAANGTACGTTACGTACGGTACGTACGTACGGTACGTAACGTACGTACGTACGTACGTACGTACGTACGTACGTACGTACGTACGTACGTACTACTACGTACTACGTACTACACACACACGACACTACACACACACACACACACACACACACACACACACACACACACACACACACACACACACACACACACACACACACAGAGCCGAGCTTTAATGAAACACAGAGACCCAGACGTAATAGTACTGCATCATATTATTTTCGAATAAATAATTTTTCAATTTATGATTTTAAAAAAAAAATCTTTTTATTTTTTATTTTTAATAACCATTTTTCCTCCTGGTCTCTCGCGCCCCCCCTGGCATGCCTCTGAGCCCCCCAGGGGGGGCGCGCCCCCCACTTTGAGAACCACTGTGCTAGCTACTGTTGTCTAAATCGAACTACAAACAGCCAACACTTCGGCCCAATTCCGAACCGCCCCCTACGCGTTCGCGCAGAGGGTCCGCCACATTAAGTGCTGTTCCAAACCAACGAGTGTGGAGGGGGAGTGGGTTGTCAAGCCTCCAACAGCGAGTCTGCATCCCACCTGACTCCACCTGCTTCACTGCCTCACCGGACTCAACGCTGGGTCTGTCCGTCATGAAACACGCTGTTTACAAACAGTTCCGTGGAAACATTCACTGATAAACTGCACAACAAGAGCTATTTAATATCTTCATACAGAATGTTAGGGTTGAGCAGCGCAGGGTGGATCCAAGTGCAGACAGACAAATGCAAAAACAGACAGAACTTGATCTCCCTCTAATCACAAAAAGAACCCACAAAACCCCAACAGAAAAACAGAACTTAACTAGAGAATGCATTCCTGAAGAAATTGCTAGTGGGAATGCTTTATGCTGAAAAGCTGACGCTGAACTGCTATGCTGAAATGTAATGTGTAAGAAGAAAGTGAAGAATTTTGATTGAAATGATACATGAACGCTGGGGGCTTGAATGTGTGATGAGAGAAGAAAGGGAAGTAAAAAGGCTTGGAAAAGCAGCAGAATTTTTGAACTGCAAACTTTTGAACTAACTTGATGGCGAATGATCTGTCGCTATGGCAACGGTATTTGATGACACCTCATAATACGCTTAGATATGTTGATGGCTGCATCGTTACCAAACCTGTGAAGTTTTGGACTGTTTAGAGCATTTTCACTGAACCGTTTTTCATGGCGAGCATTGTGTTGCCATGGCAACGGCATTTGAAGAAATCTCAAAACTGTACCAGCATTCCCACTAAATAAGAACAAGAAAATAAAAGTCTAAATGCATGAAAAAGCAGCAGAATATATGAACTGAAAACTTTAGAACTAAAAGCTTAGGTCACCAATAATGTCTAAAATATGTGGAACATGTTGAAGTCAGTATGAAGTCTCCATCAGACGGAAAAGAATAGACTGAGACAGTCTGTTAAACTCCAGTGAGCACGTCATTAGTCTGCTGCTCTAATTATGTCAATTGGAGTTATGACATCATCATGTTCCATGACACAGGTGTTTATATTTGAGCTAACGAGGTGTCCAGAGATCAAAGGTTTCCATGGTGATTAGTGAGAGGAAAGCATTTTCATTGTTCTGAATGAGAGATAAACCTGTTACATGTGAACGTTTTGTTGAAGAACCGTAACAGATATCGGTGAAATTTCAAAGCGTGAAGCATGTCAAGGAACTTGAGCATCTGAAGTGTGCTTTTTATGTACCTTTGGGTTAATAATGTGGCCTTTTTGGCAGATTAACTAAAGGAGTTTGGCTACTGTGGTGGGGAAAGGTGAGGCTCAACTTACAATGGAGTGTAATGGAGACATTTTGAACGTTTTTGTCACTTCATGCACTCAAGAGGCATTTTGTTTAATTATTTTTGCTTAATTTTTTTATTATCTTTCAAGCTACGAGATGTTTTCCTACGTTTGTCATGATAAATTATGTCTCGGGAATGTAGGGTTTGGGAATTATGGCAGGTTTAAAAGAAAATATGAAGACAAAATTAAATCTGTCCTCCACTCTAGCTGTGACATCACGCACTCTAAAATCTGAAGAAGGCCTCAGATTTAAAAGTTGTGTTACACGATTAATGTCAGAAAGATGTTTGACATTTTAAAGTTTAAAGTATGAAGGAGTAGTTAGCAGTTGAAGAAGGAGCAGTTAGCAGTTGAAGTTGCATGAAGATTGTTGAAGTCTGAAGAGTTCTCCTTTGACTTCCATGTTAAAAATGGGATGTATTATGGGATGGATCTCTGGAATTATGAAAGTTATGAATGATAAAAGTAATAGCCATTGATTCCCGACCGAGCTGAACGTTTTGATGTTTGAATGGAGTTTCTGCGATGTTCAATGTGGGAGAAGAAGCAGCGCAAAATAACCCGGCGGAATAATACACTGATAAGTTACAGCTGATAAATCAGCTAGTGGCTTTTCCATGGTCATAGGCTAGAAGTGAAGAGTCTGTTTTAATTAACTTATAGTTTCGGAAATTAGTAAGAATGCCAGGTGTTAAATCTACCATGGATTTTGTGTAAACCGCAATATGTGCCAGAATGCAATGACTTGGAAGTGGCAACAGTAACTAAGGCGTGTGGGGTTTAGCAAATGGACAACTGCAAAATCTCCTATCTTCTCTACCTCCAGCTCCACAACATCATCTTTATAACAGCTTACAACTTCTGACTCCTTAAAGGGGCCAGATGATTAAAGACTTTTAGTCAGATTCCCCCCCAAAACAACAAAAATCCACCTAGGACTATAATAACATTGGCAACCTTGTAACATGTTATTTTTCACAAGCCAATCAGAGCAGACTGGGCTTTTCCTTTCAGTGGCACTGACAGAAAATGGAGACTTAAAGAGCAGCTTTTGTTGTCATGATACAGGGACCTTTAGTGAACCGGATGTCTTACTGGTGCAAAGCACAGATCACAACAGTACAGGTCTTATAGAATTTAATGGACAGGAACCTCCACTACACATGAATCGTGGGAAAGCTGTTTATCCAAGGGATTATCCAGGATGCTTAAGGGAGAGAAGGCTCCCCATCTCTGACTGGCTCTGTGGCTAAAGATGATACTTAGCAACTGTGCAGACACACACACACACCCACACACACTGCTGCATAGATGTGCTTGATGCTACTGCTCTCTAAGCTAGTTGAAAGATTACTTGGGAGTTGGATGCTTGAAGACTCTGAGAGTTCAGTGTCATCCCGAGCCATGTGTGCCTTAGCATATCAAGATAGAATATCCTACTGAATTCACAATGAAAAGGATTTGCCATTGGTGACATATCATATAGGAGGTCATGTCAGGCATCAGGCTACTTATTATTAAGTTTATAGGCTAAACTAGTATCAATAAAGTATATCTATCTATCTAAAGAAAAGATAAATGTAAATCAATCAAAGTTTATTTATACAGCCCAATATCACACATAATACATTTGTCTCAGGGGACTTTACAGTTTGTACAGAATAAGAATACGACACCATCTGTCCTCAGATCCAGGGGTATAAAGACACAAAACATTTCGGGGGAAGCTTGGTTATTTGGAAGACGAGAGTACACGGGTACAGAGAGAGATAAGAAGAAAGTAAGGTGTACCCCGACAACAAGCCTCTAGCAACAAAACCAGTGACTGATTCTAGGCCCATAGATAATCCTAATGTAAATACAGCATTATCAGGCAAAATGGTTATACAATTGTGACAATATTCTGATATTTCTCTACATCCAATATAATGTAACGCTACATTTGTCCATCAACAGGTGTTGAACCTTTTCCTGGCCCTGTTGCTCAGCTCCTTCAGCTCAGACAACCTCTCTGCTCCAGACGAAGACGGTGATTTGAACAACATCCAGATCGCCATCGCCCGCATCGAATCCGGTTTCTCCTGGCTCACATCGTGCATCTTCGACCTCTGCAGACGCAGCTCGAAGCGGCGAGAGCAGAAGGCCAACGAAATATCCAAGCTGGTCGGGAATCACGTGGAGAGCAATGGTGGAATTTGTGGACGCTATGGAGAGAAGTACATCGTGCCGGGGGAGGACAGCTACATGACAAACCCCAACTTGACTGTCATTGTTCCCATCGCACCCGGAGAGTCCGACGTGGAGTTTCTTGAGGAGGAGGAGATTTCTGAGTCTTCAGAGGATGAAAACAGCAAACCAGTGAGTTTTTCACATCCACATATTTCTTTGCAACGGACAGAAACTCTCGATATTTACTGTTGTAGTGTTCTTTGGATGGTATTTTCTAGCAAAATAGTTCTTGTAAGAGAAAGGATCAAATACTGATCAGCTGGTAAGAAACCAATGGTGCTAATGGTGTTACATCACTGCTATGGGTAAAGCCTGATGAAAATGTAAAACATTTCACATAAATATCAAGAAGTATGTTTAAGCCAAATTAATCCAAGTTAATTACATGCTTCTTACCTGGAAACATCAGCATCCAATGCTTGCAACAAACTTAAAAAGCCAATGAATATAAAAATATCACTCGTCACCGGCTTGAGCTTCAATATCAGGATACATGTATTTATTATCCTTGCAAGAATGGAAGTAGTCATCACAAACAGAGCATTTGGTACAACTAGTTCCTGAACAGTGTCCTTCACATGCTGATATACAAGAGAGGGAGTTACACAGTCACAAGATGGAGGAATACCGGTACAAAGAAGTATTCAATGTTTTGTTCAGATTAGCTAAGGCCCACGTCAGAAATGATCATGCTTGTCATATGTCTATCTCCATAGAGGCTGAATCATCATGTTAATTGTTGTCACATAGCTATCATATGCCTAATACAATGTGTCCTGATGCTCTTCTAGGTAATCATACATCCTGTCATCTACAGTTAGGCCTTTGTTATCATGTGCTACTCTGATATTGGAAGAGTACATTCAGTATTTTCCCAACAATATCAAATATATTTGAGCAAATGTAAAAAAAAGGCAAGCATCTTTAGCGTCCATCGGAGCTGTGGAAAGTCTCCTTCCAGCGTTATTTGTTGTCTTTCTAGGACAACAAATCCTTATCAGTGTTAAAATTATTTCAACTTTGACCTCAATTGCAGCTGACCTATTGAAACCTAACCAATGAGATAACGACTGTATGAAACGGCACAGGCAAGCATGGGAAGCAACTGTAAAAACAAAACTAACTAACTAACTAGAGCAGCTTTTTTATAGTTTCCCTCTGAAAGACACGGCCAACAACATGCTTCTCCTCCAATTTCTACAGTGACACCTCCAGCACCTTCCTAAACGTTGAGATATTTCGAAGCGCTCGGCGCAGCTACGTCTGCATGAGCTGTCTCCTCATTGGAACGGTTTTAAATTATCCTGCATCTCAGAAAATGGCTGTTCTAGCCTTAAACGCTTTATTTTATGATGGGATTTAAGCAACCAAACCGCAACTGCTAGATTTTTTAAGCTTTACTTTAATAATTTTTTTTAAGCTACAATACCAGAAACAGTGTAAGATGTCAAATGTATAAATAA